ATTTCTAGCAAACTGTTTTCAGTGGTAGTGCTATGGTTAACGTGCCTCCTAAAGTTCATGTTTTGGAAACTTAAGACTCAAGGAACAGTGATGAGAGGTGGTAACTTTTTTTTTTTTTTAAAGAAATCTTTTATTTTAGGTTCAGGGGTATATGTGAAGGTTTGTTACATAGGTGAACTTGTGTTACGGGGGTTTGTCATACAGATTGTTTCATCACCCAGGTATTAAGTTCAATACTCAATAGTTATCTTTTCTGCTCCTCCCCCTCCTCCCACCTACAGTATCATGTAGATCCCAGTATCTGTTGTTCCCTTCTTTATGCTCATGAGTTGTCATCATTTAGCTCCCACTTATAAATGAGAACATGTGGTATTTGGTTTGTGTTTCTGTGTTAGTTTGCTAAGGATAAGGATAAACTTCTAGCTCCACCCATGTTCCCACAAAAGATACGATCTTGTTCTTTTTTATGGCTGCATAGTATTCCATGGTGTATACGTAGAGAGATAGTACCTTTAAGAGATGATTAGTGTTTGAGGGTTCTGCCCTCATGAATTAATTAATGTCATTACTGAAGAAGTGAAATCATTATTGTGAGAGTGGGTTCCTTATAAAGGATGAGTTCGGCCTTCTTCCCTCTCTCATATCATGTGCCTTCTGCAACGTTATGAAGCAGCAAGAAGGCCCTCACCACATGCTGGGGCTTTGATCATGGACTTCCCGGCCTCCAGAACTGTGGGGAAATAAACTTCTGTTTCTAGAAATTATCCAGTTTCAGATACTCTGTTATAGCAGCACAAAACAAAGACAGGTAAATAGAATAAGTAGATATTAAAAAATCAGTAATGATGGAGAAGATTTAGGAAAAGTGATTAATAAAATTGTCCTAACGAACCCATCCAATCTGAATAATACAAATTATTATCCAATAAACACACTTTGTAGTTGTTTTCTATTGCTCCTGTAACAAATTGCCACAATTTAGTGGCTTAAAACAACACAGATTTGTTCTCTCCTAGTTCTGGATATCAGATGCCCAAAATGAGTTTTAAGGAGTTAAAGTCTCGGCGTTTCTGTTCCTTCTGCATGCTTTAAGGGAGAATCTATTCTTTGCCTCTTTCATCTTCTAGAGGCTGTGGCATTCCTTAGCTCCTGGCCATATCACTCCAAACTCTGCTTCCATTGTAACATTGTCTTATCTCCTCCATAGTCAAACCTCTCCTCCTCTTCCTCTTGTGATTACATTGGACCTGGATAATCCAGGATAACTTCCTCACCTCAAGAACTCTAACTTGGCCAGGTGCAGTGGCTTAACCCCTGTAATATCAACACTTTGGGAGGCCAAGGAGAGCAGATTGCCTGAGGTCAGGAGTTTGAGACCAGTCTGGCTAGCATGGTGAAACCCCGTCTCTACTAAAAATACAAAAATTAGCCAGGTGGTGGCGCATGCCTGTAGTCCCAGCTACTCAGGAAGCTAAGGCAGGAGAAACGGAGCCAAGATCAGCCACTGCTCTCCAGCCTCTACGATAGAGCAAGACTCCGTCTCAAAAACAACAACAAAACTCTAATTTACCATATCAACAAAGTTCCTTTTACCATGTAAGAAAAAATATTCATAGGTTCCAGGTATTTGGACATCAATATCCCTGGGGAAGGGGCAGTATTATTCTACCACATAAATGAACATTTACCAAATCTGATCATGTGCAAGGGTCATAAATCAAGTCTCAAAAAAGTCAAAAGATAAAAATCATATGATATTTTTTATCACAGTGCAATTTCGTTAGAAATCAATAACAAAAATAATAAGAAAATATATATTTGAAAAATAAGAAATACACTCCTAAGTAGCCATGAATTACAGAAATAAACAATGGCAATTAGAAAATGTTTAAACTGAAACTCAGAGAAAATATCGAGAGATAGTGACAAAAAATTTTTCAGACAAATAAAATGTAAGAGATGCAGTTAAACAAGTGCCAGAGTGACATTTGTTTTCTAGATTCATATATTAGAAGACAAAAAAGATTGAATATTAAAGAGCTGAGCATTCATCTAGGAAGTAAAAACAGAATGGCAAAAATAATCTGGAAGAAGTAGCACAAAATAAATAATAAAATTAATACAGGAATTAAAGATATGTAACAACATGTAGTAGATAGGATCAATAAAACTAGAAACAAGATGTTTCAAAAATCTGGCAAAAAATGAAAACTTCTGGTAAGATTGTTGTAGAAAAAAGGAAAAGTCACATTACAAATACAAAGAATGAAAAGGAGATATCAGAGAGATTTTAGAAACATTAAACAAGAATAAAGTATTGTGGATAACTTTATGGCAATACATTAAAAATTAGTTGAAGCAGAAAAATTCTTAGGAAAATAATTTACTGCCTGGGTGCTGTGGCTCACACCTGTAATCTCAGCACTTTGGGAGGCCACGGCGGGAGGATCATGAGGTCAGGAGTTTGTGAGATCAAGAGACCAGCCTGATCAACATGGTGAAACCCAGGTGTGGTGGCACGTGCCTGTAATCCCAGCTACTCAGGAGGCAAAGGCAGGAGAATACTTGAACCCAGGAGATGGAGGTTGCAGTGAGCCAAGATCATGCCATTGCACTCCAGCCTGGGTGACAGAATGAGACTCTGTCTAAAAATTAAAAAATTAAAAATAAAAAAAAGGAAAATAATTTACCAAAATATTGCAAGCAAAAAACATGACTAGTCCAATAGCCATTTACAAAATTGGATCAACAATCAAAAAATTATCCTAAAGAAAATCTAGTCCCAAATGGCTTCACTGGTGAGTTCTACAAAATATTAAAAAAGAAATTACTGTAATCATCTTACTCAAAAACCTCCATACTGTAAAAAAAAAAAAAGAGAATATTCTCCAGGCTTCTCTATTAGTCCATTTTCATACGGCTTTAAAGAACTGCCGGAGACTGGGTAATTTATAAAGGAAAAAGGTTTAACTGACTCCCAATTCCACATGGCCAGGAAGGCCTCAGGCAATTTACAATCATGGCAGAAGGCAAAGAAGAAACAATGTGCCTTCTTCACAAGGCGGCATAAAGAAGTGCCAAGTGAAGTGGACAGAGCCCCTTGTAAAACCATCAGATCTAGTGAGATCTCACTATCATGAGAACAGCATGAGGGAAACTGCCCGCATGACTCAATTACCTCCACCGGATCTCTTCTTTGACTTGTGACAATTATGGTGATTATGGGGATTGCAATTCAAAATGAGATTTGGATGAGGACACAAAGCCTAATTTAATACCAAAACTTAAAAAGAACATTATGAGAAAGAAAAATTACAGCCATTCTCAGTCATGAACATAGATGCAAAAAATTATAAACAAAATATTAGCAGAATTTATCCTAGAATAATGGATAAAAGATTATGATCAAGTTAAGTTTATTTTAGGAATGCATTAGAAAACCAATATAATTCATCATATTAACCAAATAAAAGAGAAAAACACATGATTGTCTCAACAGGTACCCAGAAAGCATTTCATAGCAATCTTTAACATTCACTAATTATTAAAACAAACACCTTTTAATGAACTAGTAGTATAAGGAAACTTTTAAAATCTACAATGATGATTAATTTTATGTGCCAACCTGGCTAGGTTACAGTACACAGATATTTTGGTTAAACATAATTCTTGATGTTTATGTGAAGGTTTTTTAAAAATGGGATTAACACTTAACTCAGTAGTTTTAGGTAAAGCAGATTTCCCTCTAGGATGTTGGTGAGCCTTATCCAATCAGTCGAAGGCCTTAAGAAAGAAAAAAAACAAAACTGATCTTCTCCAAAGAGGGAATTTTGCCATCAGACTGCCTTTGGGCTCAAACTGAAATTTTTTCTTCAGTCTGCAACTTGTCAGCCTACTCTGCAGATTTTGGATATGCCAGGCTCCACAGTCACAGAGGACAATTTCTTAAAATCTCCCTATCTCTCTCTTTCTCTCTCTCTCTCTCTCTCCCCGACACACACATATACATATACACACTCTATTGGTTCTGTTTCTCTGTAGAACCCTGACCAATACACAGTAAAAGAGAGTATTTACAAGAAACATACAACAAACATCATTCTTCATGGGGAAATGTTGAAACATTTATCTCTGATATTGAGAAGAAAATAATAATTTAGTATCATGCTAGAGATTCTAGAGCAAGCAAGTAAAGCAAGGAAAAGAGATAAGATAAAAGGATGAGAAGAGGATAAACAAAAGCATCATTCATTACATATAATATGTATTGCATATGTAGAAAATCCAGAGCATATGCAGATAAACCAGTCTGTTAGAATTAGTTTATCTAATCTTCTAATTAGATGAATTATGTAGAATGAGCGAGTTTAGCAAGGCTTTGGATACAGTCAACATATAAATATAAATTATATTTTGATATGCTAACAATAATCAGGTAGAAAATGAAATTGAAGTCAGATATTATAAAAATATTTTTTAATCAAGCAAATCAGAGAATAAATCTAATAACAAATCTGTAAGAATTCTATGGAGAAAACCACAAAATTTTGCTGAGAGAAATTAAGATAGACCTAAATAAAGAGATAAATATGATAGATGGAAAAGATTGGTAAAAATGTGATTTTTCCCAAAATTGATTTATAGTTTTAAATATGATCATAATCAAAAGCACATTATCGTGTATGTGTAAGACAACAATTCTAAAATTTATATGGAAATTCAAAGAACTGGAAATGGCCAACATACTCTCGGTGAAGTATAAGGTAAGAGACTTGACCTATCAAGTATGAAGACATAACAAGGCTAGAGTAATCATCACAAGACAATATTGGCACAAGGGTGGACAGTTAGACCAATGGAATAGGAGCTAAAAAGCCCTATTGTCTATCAACAATAAAATGGAAATTGTGGTAACTTCATACAATAACATATCACATGGCAAGGGAAAGGAACTGATGGAAAAATCTTTAGAATATTGAATGAAAAATAACACATTAATATATATATATTATAGTTATACTAAGCACTTTTAGAGTTATATATTATACTTTACACTAAATATATTTTAATTACTATTTTTAATATATCAAAAGATTAAGAAATTAAAAATAAATCTCAAAAAAGTTGAACAAGACCTTTTAAAGAAAATATTAGAGTTGAAAGTTCTATTATAAGGACACGTGCACACGAATGTTCATTGCAGCACTGTTTACAATAGCAAAGACCTGGAACCAACCCAAATGCCCATCGACGATAGGCTGGACAGGGAAAATGTGGCACATATACACCATGGAATATTATGCAGCCATCAAAAATGATGAGTTTGTGTCCTTTGTAGGGACATAGATGAACCTGGAAAGCATCATTCTCAGCAAACTGACACAAGAGCAGAAGATCAAACACTGCATGTTCTCACTCATAGGCGGGTGTTGAACAATGAGAACACATGGACACAGGGAGGGGAGCACTACACACTTGGGTCTGTTGGGGGGAAACAGGGGAGGGTCAGTGTGGGGTGGGGAGTTGGGGAGAGACAGCATGAGGAGAAATGCCAGATATAGGTGATGGGGAGGAAGGCAGCAAATCACACTGCCACGTGTGCACCTATGCAACAATCTTGCATGTTCTTCACATGCACCCCAAAACCTAAAATGCAATAAAATAAATTTAAAAAAAAAAACTAAAAGAAATAAATAAAAAGTTATTTCTGAAAATTAAAAAAAAAAAAACTTAGAAAGACATTACCAAGGACACAAATAGATGAAGAAATGTACCAGGCTTAGAGATTGCATCTCTCAACATTGTATTGTATACATGTCAATTACCTCCACATTAATCTATTGATTCCATTCAACCCCAATACATAACCAACAGATGGAATTGTGGAATTTGACAAGATAATTTTAAAATTTGTTTAAAAGTACAAAGGATCAAGAATGTCAAGATACTCGAGGAAAAAGAATAAATAGGGTATCTGCCAAGATTTATGTTAAAGCTACTGTAATAAAGACATATGTGTGCACTGAGAAATAGATAAACCAATGGAGCCTAAGGGAAAGACTAGAAAATAAACCCAGACATATTTGGACACTTGCTATATAATAAAGTTGGCACTACAGACCAGGTGAGAAAAGATAGATTTTTCAATTAAGAATGTCAGGACAATGGTCATCCAAATGGAAAGAAATGAAACTGGACTCCTCATTCACACTAAACATATAAAATCAATATGAGGTGAATTAAAGACCAGTCTTTGAAAGGCAAAATTCTAAAAACTCAGAATTATGGGAGAATTTCTTTGTAAATTCAGGATAGTGTATAGTTCTGATTCAATCAATCAGAATCAAGCAGAATCACTAAATGTAGGGTATTTGTGTGAATCTGTATGTATGTGTAAGGTAACTTGCTCCAGGGATCTGAACTTCTTGCCTCCTTGTGAGGAGCTATTATCTTTCCACCTGATCCTAGGACTTGGAATCCACAATATGGGAAGTCAGGAATAAAAAAAGATAAGTGTAGTGTGAGCAAGCAAGAACATGCTGGAACACAGAGGAACAACCTGAAGCTCACGAGGACATATTGAAACTTATGCTGTTTCTTAGTGTCTGACATTAATGGTATGGGTGTCCTCCAGTAGCCAGAACTCTTTGTTACAGAGCTAAACAATTACCTGGCCAAGGAGTAAGAGAAGCTGAAGCAGTTGCACATGTGGCCACTGCTGCTTGCCAATGAGATGAGTCAGTAGATCAGAGACAATAGGGGTCAGCTACGAAATGGCTGCTGCTTCACTTTTGCCTTCCAAGTTTTTTACAGTAATGTCTCTTGTAGTCCACCCTAACCAGAAATATACAGAAAATGTAGTTCAGCCTAGCCAGGCTGATGTATTTCAAAACCATCAGAGGTAGAAATAGTTTCCTTAAAGAATACATAATAAGCAGTTGTTATAGTACATATTTAGGAAATTTTATTTAAGAAGAAAAGATGAGCAGTATATTTTCTGAACTCTTGAATACTTGAAAATATCTCTTCTTCCATCTTGTACGTCATTCAAGATTCAAGACTTGCATACGTAGAAAATCCTTGATTTACATTTTTTCCCTCAGAACTCTGTAAAAGTGCTGCTTTCCCTCAATATTATTAAAACAAAAGTAAAAATTCCTGGCAGGTTTTGGCTATCTTTTAAGTAACACTAGTTTTGTTGGGGTGGGTCTGAATAGTTTTTGTATTCATTCTTGGTCTTAATAACCTAACCCTTGTGTTACAATGTGTCTAGATATAATGATATTATCAGTAGCTATTGGTAATTTGCTCCTTTTCTTTCTTACCAACAAAAACTAAATTTTGTTGAATAGTCACATTCCTAGGCTTCACTGCAATTAGAGGTGGCTATGTAACACAGTTTTGGCCAGTGATTCAACGACACATGAAAAGAGGTTTTGCTTTCCTAACACATTTCTTCCTTTATTATTTCCTTCTTCCTGCTCTTGAAACTAGAATGAGACTGAAGGTGAAACAGCCTTCATGTGACTATTTATTCCTTCTCCATTTATGTTCAGTGTTAATTCATCAGTGAACAAAATAGTCAAATGTCTCTCCCCTTGTGTATCTTAAACTCTAGTGTATATCAACAAACAATAAAAGAAATAAGTAAACTATTTAGAATATCCACAATGATAAGTGCTATAGGAAAAAAATGTTAGAATATGAGATTCTAAGAAACTAGTGTTTATAATATTAAACAAAGTGGTGGGGACAGGAAGCAGGCCATGAAGCTAGCTAGAACAGGAACTTTTCCAGAGAGTGTGAGGGAAAAAAACCAATGCAAAGGCCTGACCAGGGAATATGCCTGCTCTATTTAACAACTAGTGAGCAGCTAGTTTGCTGAAGTTCGGTAGTGATACAGGACTAGTAGGAGATGAGGTTAGGGAAGACAGATGGGGACAATTAATGTGGGGCTTTTAGGTCATTGTGTAGAATTTGCCACCTACTTTGAGTGAGATAAAACACCACTAGAGAGTTCTGAATAGGGGAGTGATTTGCTGTGATTTATGTTTTTAAGACTTTGTTTTAAACCTTTTTATTTTCATCTAATTTTATACTTTCATAAAAATTGCAAATGTAGTACAGAGTTTCCTTATATCCCTCACTCCACTTTCCTAATGTAAACGCTCAACAGCAAAGCAGGAAATTGTTTATGGCTGCCTAGTGTTCCACGGTGTATACATACCACGTTTCATTTATCCAGTCCGTCAACGATGAGCATTTAGGTTGCTTCCATGTCTTTGCTATTGTGAATAGTGCTACAATGAACATACCTATGCATATGTCTTCATGATAGAATGATTTCTATTCCTTTAGGTATGTACCCAATAATGGAATTGCTGGGTCAAATGGTAGTTCTGGTTTTAGCTCTTTGAGGAATCACCATACTGCTATCCACAAGAGTTGAACTAATTTACACTTTCACCAACAGTGTATAAGCATTGCCTTTTCTCCACAGCCTCACCAGTGTCTGTTACTTTTTGACATTTTATTAATAGTATTTTGACTGATATAAGATGGTACCTCACTGTGGTTTTAATTTGCATTTCTCTACTGCTCAGCGATATTGAGCTTTTTTCATGTGTGCTTGTCGGCCGCATGAATGTCTTCTTTTGAAAAGTATCTGTTCATGATGTCCTTTGCCTACTTTTTAATGGCTTTTTCTCTTGTAAATTTGTTTAAGTTCCTTGTAGGTGCTGGATATTAGACCCTTGTCAGAAGCATAGGTTGCAAAAAATGAGATAATGTTTTTTGAGAAACATGGATGGAGCTAGAGGCTATTATCCTTAGCAAACTAATACAAGAACAGAAAACCAAATACCACATGTTCTCACTTAGAAATGGGAGCTAAATGATGAGAACACATGGAGACAAAGAGGAAACAACAGATACTGGGGCCTACCGGGGGCAGAGGGTGGGAGGAAGGAAAGGAACAGAAAAAAATAACTATTAGGTAATAGCCTTAGCACCTGGATAACAAAATACTCTGTACATCAAACTCACAGGACACAATTTACCTATATAACAAAGCTGCACATGTATCTCTGAACCAAAAATAAAAGTTTTTTGAAAAAAAGGAAATTAACTTTTGGTGTGATATTATTAACTAAACTACAGTCCTTATTTGATTTTCACACATTTTTTAATATGTGTTCCTTTGCATCTGGCATCCTATCCAGAGTCATATATTGTACTTAGTTTTTGTTTTCCTCCTTAGTCACTTTCAGTCTGCAACAGTTCTTCAATTTTTTCCTTATCTTTCATGACCTGACACTTGGAAGATTGCTAATCAGCAATTTTGTAGAATGTCCCTTAAGTTGGGCTTATTTGATACAGCATTTTTCTCATGATTGGAAAGTGGAATAGTCTGCTCAAGCTACCGTAACCACAAAACACAGATTGGATGGTTTAAACAACATAAATTTATTTCTCACAGTTTTGAAAGCTAGGATCAAGAGGTTAGCTGATTCAGTTTTTGATGAGGGTTCTTTTCCTGGCTTGCAGATGCCTACTTTCTCATTGTGTCCTTACATGGCCTTTCCTTTGTGTGCATGCATGGAGGGGTGGAGAGTTAGAAAATGAGCTCTTTGATGTCCTTTCTTATACGGACTCTAACATTACACTATTGGATCAAGGTCCCACCTTTATGATGGCAAGTAATTATAACCTTAACTACGTTCCTAAAGGCCTCATCTCCAAATACAGCAATACTGGGGGTTAAGGCTTCAATATATTCATGTTAGAGGAGACAAAAACATTCACCCCATAACAGAAAGGCTTTGTATTTTTGGCAATACTACCACAATATGTAAAGAAGCCTTTTCCTATGCATTATATTAAGATGAATAGGAAAAGGTATTTCATATTTAAGGTATTTGTTGATGTGTCTTATTATTGATGTTTACCTTGATCATTTAGGTTGGTATCTGCTGTTTCTCTGCTATAAAGTCGCTATCTTTCTGTTTATAGTTAATAAATATCTTCTTTGGAGACTATGTAAATCCTATTTCTCCTCAAACTTTTGCCCACTCATTTAAGCATCTGTTGGTGAATCTTGTCTGCAGCTGTTATTGCTAGGACATTTGTAATGATGATTCGCTGTTTTCTCTTTCCATCAACATTTATTAATTGGAATTCTACTGTAATGAAGAACTTCTCCCCTCATTTATGTATTTGATTTTTATATTGGCATAGATTAAAAAGTTTTCCTCTTGGCATAGTTGGCAATGCTTCAGTCTTGTATTGATATAGACTGATAGGAATATTTGATTCTATGGGTTAAATACTATTTATTTTACTGTTCAAATTATGCCAACTTTGGTCATTAGTAACTTCTTTAGGTTGGCTCCTCTGTTTCTTTCATAAGCCCCCATTTGTTACAAAATATTTTCTTACCTTCTGATTTCAAAAGATGTTCTAGGCTCATCTTATATTTTCCTTGTTCAGTTCTGGAATCAGCTTCTCCAAAAAGCTCTGTTTTCTTATGTTAAAAATAGTGTTTAGAAGCCAAGATCTTGAGGCACAGCAAGATGGCAAAATAGAAGGCTTCACCAATAGTCCCCACTGCCCCCACAAGGTCACTAATTTAGCAACTATCTACACAGAAAGAACACCTTCACAAGAACCAAAAATCAGGTGAGCACTCAGTACTTGGTTTTAACTCTGTACTGCTGAAAGAGGCCTTGAAAAGCAGAAAAAAACAGCCTTGAATCGCTGACACCACCCCTCCCCCACTGCCCCAGCAGCAGTCAGGTGGTATGGAGGCCAGGTTGTATGGAGGGCATCTCTGGGTGCTGGGGAGGGAGAGCACAGCAATTGTGGGGGCGCTGAACTCAGTGTTTTTCTATTGGAGAAGAAAAGGAAACCAAACTCGGCTGATGCCGACCCATGGAGGCAGAACTTAAACCAGCCCTAGCCAGACGGGATTTTCATCCATCCCAGAGGTTGAAACTTGAGTTAATGCAAACCTCACTATGAAAGGCTACAGTATTCTTCGTTGCTTAGTAAACTTGAAAGGCAATCCAGGTTATACAAACTACAACTCATAGGTGAGTCCTAGTGCTGAACTGGGCCTGGAGACAGTGGACTTGGGGGACATGTGACCTATGGAGACACCAGCTGGGGTGGCTAAGGGAGTGCTGGTATAACCTCTCCCCTAACCACAGAGTGCACAGATCACAGCTCCAAAAGAGACCCCTTCCTTCTACCTGAGGAGAGGAAAGGGACTAGTAGGAGGGATTTTGTCTTATATTTTGTATACCAGCTCAGCCACAGAAGGATAGGGCACAGGTCAGAGCCCAGAGGCCCTTGTTCCAGGCCCTAGCTCCTGGATGACATTTCTAAACACACCCTGGATGAGAAGGAGACTTGCTAGCTTCAGGTGAGACTCAGCATATTACCAGCTATGGTGGCTATTGGATGAAACTCTTTCTGCTTGAGAAAAGCAGAAAGAAAAGTAAAGGAGACTCTGTCTTGCACCTTAGGTACCAGTGTGGCAACAGGAGAATCAAGCATCAAGCATGCTCTTTGGTTCCCTGATTCCAGGGTTTTACTCTTGAATGGCATCTCTAGACCTAGCCTGGGCGAACTGATGAGCCCTTGGGCCTTAAGGAAAAGTTGGAGGTCCTCCAGCAGTACTCTCCATGGCCTGTGGTGGCAGTGGCTACAGCATGAGGCTCCTCTGCCTTGGGAAAGGGGAAGGAAGAGTAGGAAACAATGTCTTGTGGTTTGATTGCTAGCTCAGTCACAGTATAATAGAAGAAAAGGTAGATGTCTAAGCTTTTTACCCTAATCCCTAATCCCTGACTCCCAGATGGCACCTCCGGACCTATGCAGGTCCTGAGGGAACTTTCCACCCTAAAGGGAAGGATGCGGGCCTGGCTGGCTTTGCCACCTGATGATTGTAGAGGCCCACGGCCTTTGGTGAACATAGGAAACAGCCAGGGAGTAGTTACAGCAGCTCTTGGGTGAGAGTCAGTGCTATGCTACCTTCAGGTATGACACAGCACTGTCATAGTGTGGTGGCCACATAGGTTCTTGTGTCACTTCATCCCCAGCTTTAGGTGGCTGAAGACAGAGAGAGAGACTCTGCTTGTTTGGAAGAAAATGAGGAAAGAGAACAGGGGTTTCTGCCTAGTAATCCAGAGAATTCTGAATGTTGTCCAAGACCATCAAGGCAGTACCTCTGTAAGTCTGCAAGAACCACGGCATTACTGGGCTTGGGGTACCCCATAAAACAGATACAGCTTAGATGACAACACTTAAGTCCTTTAGGATATCTGAAGAACCTTCCCAAAAAGGACAAGTACAAATAAGCCCAGCCAGTGAAGACTACAGAAAATACCTAACTCTTCTATGCCCAGACACCAAAGAATATCTACTAGCATGAACACCATCCAGGAAAACATGACCTCACCAAATGAACTAAATAAGGCACTAAGGACCAATCCTGAAGAAACAGAGATATGTGTCCTTTCAGACAGAAAATTCAAAATAGCTGTGTTGAGGAAACTCACAGAAAATCAAGATAACACAAAGAAGGAATTCAGAATTTGATCAGATATATTTAGCAAAGAAATTGAAATAATTTAAAAGAATTACATTTTTTTCAGCAGAAATTCTGGAGCTAAAAAGTGCAATTGGCATACCAAAGAATGCATCAGAGTTTTTGAATAGCAGAATTGATCAAGCAGAAGAAAGAATTTGTGAGCTTAAAAACAGGTTATTTGAAAATACAGTCAGAGGAGATAAAAAACAATAAAGTATGCCTACAGGATCTAGAAAATAGCCTCAGAAGGACAAATTTAAGAGTTCTTGGTCTTAAAGAGGAGGTAGAGAGAGAGATAGAAATAGCCTATTCAAAGGGATAATAATCGAGAACTTCCCAAACCGTAGATATATCAATATCCATGTGCAAGAAGATTATAGAACCCCAAGCAGATTTAATCCAAAGAATACCTCAAGGCATTTAATAATCAAACTCCCAAAGATCAAGGACAAAGAAATGTTTCTAAAAGCAGCAAGAGAAAAATAAATAAATAAATAAATAAATAAATAAATAAATAAATAAATAACATACAATGGAGCTCCAGTATGTCTGGCAGCAGGCTTCCCAGTGGAAACCTTACAGGCCAAGAGAGAGTGGCATGACATACGTAACATAATGAAGGAAAAAACTTTTACCTTAGAATAATATATTCAGAAAAAATGTTCTTCAAACATGAAGGTGAAATAAAGACTTTCCCAGACAAACAAAAGCTGAGGGCTTTCTTCAACACTAGACCTATTCTACAAGAAATGCTAAAGGGAGTACTTCAGTCAGAAAGAAAAGGACATTAACAAGCAATAAGCAATCACCTAAGAGTACAACACACACTGGTAATGGTTCACAGAAAAAACACAGAATATTTTAACACTGTAACTGTGGTATGTAAACTACTTTTATTCTAAAGAGAAAGACTAACCAATGAACCAATCACAAATAACAGTAACTTTTCATGACACAGACAGTGCAATAAGATATACATGGAAGAAAAAGTGAAAAAGTGAAAGGATAAAGGCATAGATTTTTTATTAGCTTTGTTTTTGATTCTTGGTTTACACAAATAGTATTAAATAGTTATCAGGTTGAAATAATGGTTTATAAGATGGTATTTGCAAGCTTCATCATAATCTCAAACAAAAAACATACAATGAATACACAAAAAAATAAAAAGCAAGAAACTAAATTATAACACTAGAGAAAACTACCTTCACTAAAGGAAGACAGGAGGAAAGAAAGAAGGAAAAGAACATGAAACAACCAGAAAACAAATAACAAAATGCCCAGAATAAGTTCTTACTCATCAATAATAACATTGAATGTAAATGGACTAAATTCTCCAATCAAAAGACAGAGAATGGCTGAGTGAATGAAAAAACAAGACTCATTAATCTGTTGCCTACAAGAAGCACAATGAAACTAAGAGACACATATAGACTGCAAATAAAGAGATGAAAAAAGATGTTACATGCCAATGGAAACCCAAAAAGAGCATGAGTAGCTATACTTACACAAAATATATTATAAGACAAAAACTCTCAGAAAAGACAATGAAGGTTACTCTATAATGGTAAAGAGGTCAATTCAGCAAGAGGATATAATAAGTTTAAATATGCATGCCTGGAGCACCCAGATACATAAACCAAATATTACTAGAGCTAAGGTGAGGGACAGACCCTAATACAATAATGGCTGGAGACTTCAGCACTCCCTTTCAGCACTGGACATATCTTTCAGGCAGAAAACCAACAAAGAAATATCAGACCTAATTTGCACTACTGACCAAACAAAACAAATCTCAAAACATTCAAAAAATTGAAATAATATCAAGCATCTTCTCTGATCACAATGGAATAAAACTAGAAATTAATAACAAGAACCTTGAAAACTATACAAATATGTGTAAATTAAACAATATGCTCCTGAATGACCAGTGGGTTGATGAAGAAACTAAAAAGGAAATTGAAAAATTTCTTGAAACAAGTGATAATGGAAACACAACACACTAAAACTTACAGGATACAATAAAAACAGTACTAAGAGTGTAGTTTACAGCTATAATGCCTACATCAAAGAGAGGAAGAATTCAAATAAACAATCTAACACTGCATCTTAAAGAATAAAAAAGCAAAAGCAAACATCACCCAAAATTAGTAGAAGAAAATAAATAATAAAGAGCAGAAATATAAATGAAATTGAAATAGAGAAAATACGAAAGATCAATGAAACAAAATGTTGGGTTTTCTTGAAAAGTTAAATGAAATTGACAACCCTTTAGCCAGACTAAGAAGAAAAAAAGGAGACACAAATTAATAAAATCAGAAATGAAAAAGGAGCATTACAACTGATACTGTTGAAATTCAAAGGATTATTAGAGGCTACTATGACCCACTACATGCCAATAAATTAGAACACTTGAGAAAATGAACAAATTCCTAGACATATACAACATTCTAAGATTGAATCATGAAGAAATCCAAAGCCTGAAAAGACCAATAAAAAATAAGATGGAAGTCATAATAAAAATTCTCCCAGTAAAGAAAAGCCCAATACCCAGTGGCCCCACTGCTGAATTCTATCAAGCATCGAAAGAAGAACTAATACCAATCCCACTCAATCTATTCTAAAAAATTAAGGAGAAAGGAATACTTCCAAACTCATTCTATGAGGTCAGTATTTCCCTGATACCAAAACCAGACAAAGACACATGAAAAATGAAAACTACCGGCCAATATCTCTGATGAATACTGATACAAAAATATTCAACAAAATACCAACAAGCCAAATCCAACGATACATTAGAAATATTCAACAAAATATTAACAAGCCAAATCCAGCAATACATTCATCATGACCAAGTGGGATTTATCTCTGGGATGCAAAGGTGGTACAACATATGCAGATCAATCAATGTGACACATCATATCAACAGAATGAAAGATAAAAATGATCTCATTTCAATTGATACTGAAAAATGTTTGATAAAATTCAACATCCCTTCATGATAAAACCCTCAAAAAACTTAGGATAGAAGAAACATACCTTAACATTTTAAAAAGCCATATATGACAGTCCCATAGCTAGTCTCATACTGAATGAGGAATAACTGAAAGCCTTTCCTTTAAGACTTGGAACATGATAAAGATGCCCACTTTCACTACAGTTATTCAGCATAGTGCTGGAAGTCCTAGCTAGAGCAATCAGACAAGAGAAATAAATAAAAGACATACAGATTGGACAGGAAGAAGTCAAATTATTTTGCAGATGATATAATCTTATAGTCAAAAATCTTAAAGACTCCACCAAAAAACTATTCGAACTAATTTTTAAAAATCAGTAAAGTTCTGGGATACAAAATTAACATATAAAAATAAAAATCAGTAGCATTTCTATATGTGAACAGTGAACAATCTAAAAAAGAACTGAAAACAGTAATCTCATTTACAATAGCTACAAATAAAATTAAATATCTAGGCATTAACCAAAGAAGTGAAAGGTCTCTATAATAAAAACTATAAAACACCAACGAAAGAAATTGAAAAGAACACCAAAAAAAAAAAAAATTCCACATTCATGGAGCAAAAGAATCAATATTGCTAAAATATCCAAACTACCCAAAGCAATCTATAGATTCAATGTAATGCCTATCAAAGTACCAATGACATTCATTACAGAAATAGAAAAAAAAAAACTATCCCAAAACATAATATGGAACCACAAAAGACTCAGAAGAGCCAAAGCTATCTTAAGCAAAAAAGAACAAAACTGGAGGAATCATATTACCTGACTTTAAATTATAGCACAGAGCTATACTAACCAAAACAGCATGGTACTGGTATAAAACCAGACACAAGACCCATGGCACAGAACAGAGAACACAGAAACAAATCCACATATTTACAGTTAACTCATTTTTGACAACGGTGTCAAAACATGCACTGGAACAAGACAGTCTCTTTAGTAAATAGTCCTGGGAAACTGGATATCTACATGCAAAATAATGAAACTAGATTCCTATTTCTTACCATATACAAAAGTAAAATCAAAGCGGAATAAAGGATTCAATCTAAGACCTCAAACTATGAAACTAATATGAAAAATTGATGAAAATCTCCAGGACATTTGTCTGGGCAAAAAAATTATTGAGTAATACCCCACATTAAACACAGACAACCAAAGCAAAAATGGACAAATGGGATCACATCAAGTTAAAAGGCTTCTGCACAGCAAAGGAAACAATCAACAAAGTGAAGAGACAATCCCCAGAATGGGACAAAGTATTTGCAAACTACTCATCTGACAAGGGATTAAAAACCAGAATATAAAAGGAGATCCAACAACTCAACAGAAAAAAAAAATCTGATCAAAAAATGAGCAAAAGATTTGAATACACATTTCTCAAAAGAAGACATACAAATAGCAAACAGGCATATGAAAAAGTGCTCAACATCATTGATCATCAGAGAATGCAAGTCAAAACTACAGTGAGATATTATCTCACCCCAGTTAAAATGGTTTTTATCCAAAAGACAGACAATAACAAAGGATGTGGAGAAAAGGGAACTCTCCTACATTGTTGGTGGGAATGTACATTAGTACAACCACATTGAGAACAGTTTGGGGGTTGAGGATCCAAGATGGCCATTTAGGAACAGCTCAGGATTGCAGCTCCCAGTGAAAGCGCAGAGGGTGAGTGGACGCTGCATTTTTATTGCCCACAGACTAGGAAATTCCCAGGCGGAGGAACTCCACAGGTCGCCAGCGTGGCTGTTTCAGCCAGCGCGGCTGTGCCGGCCAGCACCATGGCTTTGCCCCGCGCGGGTGCTTTGTCGGCGCCCCGGAGCCGTGGTTCTCCGTACAAAATACTCCGGTCCGGGAGCCCTTTTGGCTGGCGATTGGAGCCAAGGGAAGTCGCCCATTTGTCTGTTTAAAAAGGGGCCTGAGCAGGGAACCAGAACAGTAGATTCCAGGGTGAAAAAAAAAAAAAGCGCCACAAACCTCAGTGCCGCTTTTAAGCCAGCACAGTGACTGGCCACAGGGGAAAACAAACAGACCCCGGCGCCTCTTCAACAGGCGACTGGAACACAAACATAAAAAAGGCTCTGAGGCAGGGAGCCAGGCGATCAGGCTCGCTGGTCTCACCCCCACAAAAGAACAGCAACCAGAAACTCTGGATTGAGACTTTCACAGCAAGCGCAGCTGAACCCGGGACGGTCCAGCTCTGTGGGGGAGGGGCGTCCAACATTACCGTGGCAGCCCGCCAGGACGGAGGTAGTCGGCCAATGCTGAGGCAGCCCGCCGTTGCCAAGACAACCCACCACAGCAGAGAGACTCCGCCTCAACAGAGGCGGGCCACCATCGCCAAAGCAGTTCTAACTACACCCACATAAACAGGACTGCAAGGAAGTTCACTCGGCAGCGGGGCAGAGCCCACAGCAGCTCAGCAAAGCCTCTACAGGCCGACAGTGACTAGGCTGCCTCCTTGCTGGGCAGGGCAGGTCTGAAGGAAAAAAAAAAGAAGGCAGCAGCATAACGGAAACTCATAAATAAAGCCCTAAATCCCTGGGACAGAGCACCTGGGAACAAAAAGCAGTTTGTGAGTTCTGCTGCAGCAGACATAAACGTACCTGCCCAGCAGCTCTGAATGAACAACAGAGCTCACAGCTCACCATTTGAGCTCCTATAAAGAAGGGACCTTCTCCTCAAGCAGCTCCCTGACCCCTATATATCCAAAGAGACACCTCATAAAGGAGAGATCAGATTGACACTAGGCAGGTATCCTGGGACAAAGATAGCAGAAGAAGAAAACTGGTAACAACACTTACTGTTCAGCAGCTGCTGCAGGTGAACCCCAGGCAAGCAGGGCCTGGAGTGAACCTCAGCAGACCTACAGCAGAGGGGCCAGACTGTCAGAAGGAAAACCAAGAAACAGAAATAACCTCATCATCAACAAACAGAACGTCAATCTGAAAGATTTGAGATGCAATCTGAAAGCCAGCAACTACAAGGTCGACAGGTGGATAAATCCTTAAAGATGGGAAGAAACCAGCGCAAAAAGGATGAAAACACCCGAAACCAGAACACCTCTCCTCCTACAAGGGATCGCAACTCCTCACCAGCAAGGGAACAAGGTTGGAGGGAGAATGAGTGTGATGAAATGACAGAATCAGACTTCAGAAGGTGGGTAGTAAGAAACTTCTGTGAACTTAAAGAACATGTTCTAACCAAATGCAAAGAAACTAAGAACCTTGAAAAAAGATTTGACAAAATGCTAACGAGAATGGACAAAATAGAAAGGAATATAAGTGAATTGATGGAGCTGAAAAATGCAACACGAGAACTTCACGAAGCATGCACAAGTTTCAACAGCCCAATAGACCAAGCAGAAGAAAGGATATCAGAGGTTGAAGATCAACTCAATGAAATAAAACGGGAAGGCAAGACTGGAGAAAAAAGGGTGAGAAGGAATGAACAAAGTCTCCAAGAAATGTGAGACTATGTGAAAAGACCTAATCTACGTTTGATAGGCGTACCTGAATGCGACAAAGAGAATGAATCCAAGCTGGAAAATACTCTTCAGGATTTTATCCAGGAAAACTTCCCCAACCTATCAAGGCAGGCAAACATTCAAGTCCAGGAAATACAGAGAACACCACAAAGATATTCCTCAAGAAGAGCAACCCCAAGGCACATAATCGTCAGATTCACCAGGGTCGAAATGAAGGAGAAAATACTAAGGGCAGCCAGAGAGAAAGGTCGGGTTACCCACAAAGGGAAGCCCATCAGACTCACAGCAGATCTCTCAGCAGAAACCCTACAAGCCAGAATAGAGTGGGGGCCAATATTCAACATCCTTAAAGAAAAGAACTTTCAACCCAGAATCTCCTATCCAGCCAAACTAAGCTTCATAAGTGAAGGAAAAATAAAATCCTTTGTGAACATGCAAGTACTCAGAGATTTCATCACCACCAGGCCAGCTCTACAAGAGCTCCTGAAAGAGGCTCTACACATATAAAGGAACAACAAGTACCAGCTCAACTAAAGGGCAAAACACCCAGCTAGAATCAAAATGGCAGTATCAAATTTGCACATAACAATATTAACCCTAAATGTAAATGGACTAAATGCCCCAATCTAAAGACACAGACTGGCAAATTGGATAAAAAGCCAAAACCCATTGGTGTACTGTATCCAGGAAACCCATCTCACATGCAAGGATACACAAAGGCTCAAAATAAAGGGATGGAGGAAGATTTGCCAAGGAAATGGAGAGCAAAAAAAAGCAGAAGTTGCAGTTCTCATCCCTGATAAATTAGAATTTAAAGCAACAAAGATCAAAAGAGACAAAGAAGGACATTACGTAATGGTAAAAGGATCAATGCAATAAGAAGAGCTAACGATCCTAAATGTCTATGCACCCAATACAGGAGCAACCAGATACATAAAGCAAGTTCTTAATCACTTACAAAGAGACTTAGACTACCACACAATAATAGTGGGAGACTTTAACACCCCATTGTCAATATTAGACAGATCAACCAGACAGAAAATTAACAAGGATATCCAGGACTTGAACTCAGACCTGGACCAAGCAAACCTAATAGACATTTACAGAACTCTCCACCCCAAATCCACAGAATATACATTCTTCTCAGAACCACATCACACCTACTCTAAAATTCACCACATAATTGGGAGTAAATCAGTCCTCAGCAAATGCAAAAAACGGAAATCATAACAAACGGTCTCTCAGACCACAGTGCAATCAAGTTAGAACTCAGAATTCAAAAACTAACCCAGAACCACACAGCTTCATGGAAACTGAACAACTTGCTCTTGAATGTTGACTGGATAAACAATGAAATGAAGGCAGATATAAAGATGTTCTTTGAAACCAACGAGAATGAACACAAAACAGACCAGAATCTCTGGGACACATTTAAAGCAGTCTCTAGAGGAAAATATATAGTAATAAGCGCCCACATGAGAAGCAAGGAGAGATCAAAAATTGACACCCTATCGTCAAAACTGAAAGAGCTAGAGGAGCAAGATCAAAAAACCTCAAAGTCTAGCAGAAGACAAGAAATAGCTAAGATCAGAACAGAACTGAAGGAGATAGAGACACAAAAAACCCTTCAAAAAATCAATAAATCCAGGAGCTGGTTTTTTGAAAAGATCAACACAATAGACAGACCACTAGCCAGATTAATAAAAAAGAAAAGAGAGAATAACCAAATTGATGCAATAAAAAACGATAAAGGGGATATCACCACAGATTCCACAGAAATTCAAACCATCATCAGAGATTATTATAAACAACTCTATGCACACAAACTAATAAACCTGGAAGAAATGGATAAATTCCTGGAGACTTGCCTCCTCCCAAGCCTAAACCAGGAAGAAGCCGAAACCCTGAACAGACCCATAACAAGGTCTGAAGTTGAGGCAGCAATTAAGAGATTACCACCCAAAAAAAGCCCAGGTCCAGACGGGTTCACAGCCGAATTCTACCAGACATACAAAGAGGAGCTGGTACCATTCCTTCTGAAACTATTCCAAACAATACAAAAGGAGGGAATTCTTCCCAAATCATTTTATGAGACCAACATCATCCTTATCCCAAAACCCAGCAGAGACTCAACAAGAAAAGAAAACTTCAGGCCAATATCCATGATAAACATAGATGCAAAAATCTTCAATAAAATACTGACAAGCCGATTGCAGCAGCACATCAAAAAGCTTATCCACCATGATCAAGTAGGCTTCATCCCGGGGATGCAAGGCTGGTTCAACATACGCAAGTCTATAAACGTAATTCACCACATAAACAGAACCAAAGACAAAAACCACATGATTATCTCAATTGATGCAGAGAAGGCCTTTGACAAAATTCAGCAGCCCTTTATGCTAAAAACCCTCAATAAGGTAGGTATTGATGGAACGTATCTCAAAATAATAAAAGCTATTTATGACAAACCAACAGCCAATATCATACTGAATGGGCAAAAACTGGAAGCATTCCCCTTGAAATGTGGCACCAGACAAGGATGCCCTCTCTCACCACTGCCATTCAATATAGTATTAGAAGTTCTAGCCAGAGAAATCAGGCAAGAAAAATAAAAGGCATTCAAATAGGAAAGGAGGAAGTCAAATTGTCTCTATTTGCAGACGACATGATTGTATATCTAGAAGACCCCATCGTCTCAGCCCCAAATCTCCTGAAAGTGATAAGCAATTTCAGCAAAGTCTCAGGATACAAAATCAATGTGCAAAAATCACATGCATTCCTATACACCAATAACAGACTTAAAGAGAGCCAAATCAAGAACAAACTTACGTTCACAATTGCCACAAAGAGAATAAAATACCTAGGAATACAACTAACAAGGAAGGTAAAGGACCTCTTCAAGGAGAACTACAAGCCACTGCTCAATGAAATAAGAGAGGACACAAACAGATGGAGAAACATTCCATGTTCATGGTTAGGAAGAATCAATATCATGAAAATGGCCATACTGCCCAAAGTAATTTACAGATTCAATGCTATCCCCATCAAGCTACCAATGACCTTCTTTGCAGAACTGGAAAAAAACACCTTAAACTTCATATGGAACTGAAAGAGAGCC